AATACCTAGAGGGTGTGATAAAATGTGTATTCGTATGCTTTTCAAATGAGAGTGAAGACTGGTAATACAGTTTTTACAAACGATTTGGCGGTGTGCTGTTTTTATTTTAAAAAATATCGTTTTCACCAAAAATTTCAATTGTGCAAATTTACCCTATCAATGTAATCTAAATATAGAAACATGAGCAAGAACTTCTCTGTGTGTAATTGATTCAATAACAATATGTGAGAGGAACATAACTGCCCTGCTACAAAGTAATGGTTTACAAACAATGGTATGTTCAATAATGAAGTGCTATACACTCATTAAAAATGTGCATATAATAATTTTTTAATGCTATGGGAAAATATAGGGTTAAGGGGAAAAAGTAACATATAAACTGTATTTACTGCATGGTCAAGACTAAGTTAAAATAACGATTGCAAAAGACAGGAAGAAAATACTCTAAATTTCTAAGGGCTTTGAGCTATGGGGAGTAGAATAATGACTTCTGGGGGTTATTTTCTAACTTCTCTGAATTGCAGAAATTTACATAGTATTTATGTTAGATCTAATTAAAATATTTAGAATTTTTATTGTGTTACGCATAACATAAAATTTACCATTTTAACAATTTTCAAGTGTACGATTCAGTGCCATTAAGTACATTCACACTGTGGTGCAAGCATCACCATCATTTATCTACAGAACTTTTTCATCTTCCCCAACTGAAACTTTGTACATTTCAGTTAAACAATAACTCCCCATTACCTCCTCTCCCTAGCCTCTGGTAACCAGTATTCTACTTTCTGTCTCTATGAATTTGACTATCCTAATATAAATGGAATCATACAATATGTGTCCTTTTGTGCCTGGCTTATCTCACTTAGCGCAATGCCTTCAAGATTTATCCATGTTACAGCATGTATCAGAACTGTATTGCTTTTTAAGGCTGCATAATACTCCATTGTATGTATATACCACCATCTCGTTTATCCTTTCATCCATTGATGGACATTTGAATTGTTTCCACCTTTTGGCTACTCTGAATAATGTTGCTATGAACGTTGATGTACAAATACCTGTTCAAGCCCTTGCTTTCAATTTTGGGGGGAATATACCTAAAATCAAACGGCTGGATCATATGGAAATTCTATGTTTAATTTTTTGAGGAACTGCCATACTATTTTCCACAGAGGCTGCACCATTTCACATTCCCACCAGCAACTCACAAGGATTTTAATTTCTCCACATCCTTGCAATTTTTTTCATAACAAGGTCAATCACTACATATGGCGATATTTCTAAAATGTATCACTCACTTTCCAGCCTTCTTAAAAAGAAAATATTGAACAAAATTCAGCCTTTTTTTTAAAGAACTATACAATTGATGCCTCCTCGGGGGCTATTGCAATATGTTTTTATTTGATAAGCTATTTTGTTTGATAACTATTTTATTTAATAACTATTCTCAGATATTTCCATAGATTAGATCAATCCTTTCAACCTCCTGTGAAATATCATCCCCATTTCACAGATAAGTAAATGAGGTACAAAGAAGTAAAGGAACTTTTCCAAGATCACACAGCTAGTAAGTGAAGACAGCAGGATTCAAAGTCCACGTCTTTACACATTTTGCTAGACTCCTAACCATCTAAGAATGTCTGTCTCTATATTTAACATCCCCAAACCAATACTGTACACTCTTAGAAAATTTGTGTATGTTGTTTAATGTTTTTCCTTCTGGTTGTTGCTGTCATTCCTTGTGGCTGTAAAAGCACCTACCTCTGGCTGTTTTCTCCTCTCCAACCCACATGTTGATACTGATGTCCTGTCATCAAGAAAAAGAGAAAAAAGAGAGAGTTAAAACTGTGTAAGAAGTAAAAACGTATAGATTTCAGAGAATTTGAGGGATCAACCTCAGGAGAAAAATATACAAGCTTAGGTACTTGGCTTTCATGATATCTATTTTGGTGGTTTGATGACCTATTTGGCTTATTTCTGGCTTTCTTCTTGTGTTCCAGGTGCTGAGTCTGCCTTTATGAATGAATATGAGTGCTTACTCTTACTTCTACTTACCTTGTGTAATATAGAGTAATTTATTTTTTAAAAAGCTTGCCTCAAAGTTATAAAGATCCTTTATATATCTGATATTCTCTTTTTAAAAATGTCTACTTAATATTTTCATGATATACACAGAGAGAGATTCAAGGAAAAGACCTTTGATATTGAAAGTTTCTGGTCCTATAGCAAAACTATTCAAACTATAGATCCAATGTCTTCTGATCACAGATGCCCATCAATAACAGCCTGGAGTATCTTTATAGAATTTATTATGTCATAGATATATTTTCGGGAAAGAATAGACAAATGTTTCCTTCCTTGTGTAACATGTATATTGTGAAATGCTGAGTACTGTATTTACTTTTTTGAAATCAAACATTCTTTCCAATAAAGTAGGAGAGGTCACTAGTTAAATAAATATAACAGTGAGTCATTGTATGTATCAAAATCCTTTTATTTTAAGTGAGATCAATACATTACCCTATTTCACATCACCATCTGTTTTTCTAGAAATTAAGTTTTTCTATAGCAACATTTCTTTTCCACATCTCTAAGATTTTTCTAGGAAATAGGTTAATAACTGGAGTAAAGCTGAGAGAAAAATTTTCCAAATACAAAAGAGAAAAATAAACAATTTCTGTAGAAAAGCTCTAGCCATCCGTACCCCCTTAAATCCAGTAATAAGTGAGTGATAAATGTAAGTTTTGTACTACTAGGTTTATAGTTAATTTCCATCTAAATATTCCAAGCAATCTTATCCAACAAAATCAGGTTGGTGGGAGCAGGCGTGTGTGGGGGAGTAAAGAAAACAAAAGAGAGATCTGAACTAGCTGATGGGAATAGCGCTATCTTACCCACAGCTTTGAGGCTGTTGGGAGTAAAGCTGAAACAAAATAAAGTCAGAGTGTTACATTATTTCTTTTAAGAACATACTCCTCAAATCTAGAGGTTTAAAGATATAAAACCTCTACTGGACTCCAAAATTTGATCCTTTCAACAATGACTTCTGACTAAAACAGTAGTACTGTTAATATCAATAAATATACTCAAATTCTGAAATGATTCAATTAACACTTTTAGGAACTTTTTGTAACCAGACCTTACAAATGTACTATAATTCTCTTTGTTTTTGTCACATAAAGATAGGGCTATTGTCTCTAATCATCTGTACCCAACTTCTACTAAACATACGATCCTGTGCAAGTTAATATCCCTGGAAGTGGACCTCTATTCTCCACCTTTTGTTTTTCTACATTTCTACTACTTGCCTCTACCATTCATGGTAGTATTGCTTTATATTATCTTAAAATCTCCTATAATTTTTTTCACATAGGCATTATGTTTTACTGTTAAGTATCACCCATATTAACTAAGATAGTCTGTATAGTGAGATTTAAATGTTTTTTTTTTCCAATCAATAAATAATAAATTTGTCCAAAGAAGAAATTGTTGGGAGTGGAAGCATTCTTCAAGGCTATTATAACCACAGGAAACTAGAGCAATAAACCAGGTGAATTGAGGATGAGGCCCAGAAGCCTGGGTCTTCAGCTATTAAACATCCCTTCAAAACAAAAACAGCTATTTAGAAGGGTCTAAACTTATTGAGGCTGATATACAATCAACATCCAAAAGTTGAAGACTCTTCAGTAAAATACAGTTCACTGTTTTATTGTGGTCACGAAGTACTATGAAAACATTTAAGGAAACCTTTGAACATGGAGTAAATAATGTTTGGGGAGACAAAAATCAGAGGGTTTAACAAGAAAATATAATGGAATTGAGAATAGAATTGAAAATGGCAAGACAGCTACTTTGTTTTAATAGAAATTGAGTAAATATAGTCTATCAGAAATTTGGACTGGGCTTCAAGTTACTGGTTTCCAGCTGTCACAGTTGAAAGAAAAAAGGAAGGAAGGGAGAGAGGAAGAAGAAGAGAGGGGGAAGAAAATTTAAAAAGTAGAAAGGATTTAAAAAATAAAAACCTTAAGTATTCTTCTAGAGCTCAAGAAACAATCCGACAGGTTCGTAACATTTCACTGAAACCAGAAGCAGAATCATAATGGACTGAAGTCTCAATCAGGCCCCTACAACATATGTAGCTTTGTTTAAAATGACTAAGGTGAAATATATCAGCTTACGGAAAATGGGGAGGGCTTCCAGCATTTGGCTAGTGTACTAGGTGATGGATGTTGATGAGCAATTCCCTTAAACAACTGATTTACTGCCAACAGAGAAAAACATTGGAAGCACATCCAAAAACTCATTTGCAATTGAGATTACAAGGGTAGCCATTCTGTCCACCTTCCCCTCCCTCACCAGAGAGGTGACCCTGTTCCTGGCGACCACCTCCACACAAAGGCCACGGAAGAACCCCTCCTTCTCCTAACTCCCTTTCCTTTGCCTCAAAGGTCACTATAAAGCCTGCCTTACTCTGTCTTCCAATCGCTTCCTCTCTCCCTCCTTTTCTTCCTCTCCTTCCTTCCCTCCCAGCTTTTCTTTCTTTCTTCCTAAAATCATTGCTTTTGTAAAAATACACCCCTATACCACTAGACATACGTCGCATGCAAGACAAAGTCAGGCACAGGCGGCGGGTCCATGCATTCGCCAGCACCATCTGCCACCTGCGATTCATCGCCACTTTCCACCTCCCGGAGGTGAGAGGGGCGGGAGGCAAAGGACACGCGGAGCTGGTGTGACCCAGTTCTTAGGAAACTTTCAGCTGGTCGCAACCCCTCCCCCACCCGAAACGCTTCAATCATCCATCAAGCCCAGAAAACTACAGTGACCTCTGCCTAGCCTTTGGAGCTGGAAAAGAGGCGAAGCAAGAAAAGCAGGAAGAGGTTCGCCCCTTTGCTTCCCACACCGCCCAACGGCGGCGGGCGCAGAGCTGCGGCACGGCCGGAAGGGGCCGCTGTTCGCTCAGAGCAGCCGCCCTACCGCCGCCGTCCGCACCTCCCACGGCCCCGCTGGCCCAGCCCCGCCAAGTTCCAAGAGCCCCCAGTCGAGCAAGCGCCGGGAACGAGCGCCGCCCGGGCAGGAGCAGACGGCGCAGACCAGCAAGTCTGCGGCGCTCGTCGGAAAGGCTCCGGGGAAACTCCCAGTGCCCCGGGGACTTTGGAGAGAGCGAGCTGTCCCCGCGCGCGCAAGTCCGCCAAGTGAGCGCTCAGCTCACCTGTTTCTCCCGCGCCACCGCCTTCCCACCCCTCGGACTCGCGCCTCCCGAGGTGCCCGCCCGCTCCCGCGATGAATCCGGCGCTGGGCAACCAGACCGATGTGGCCGGCCTGTTCCTAGCCAACAGCAGTGAGGCGCTGGAGCGCGCCGTGCGCTGCTGCACCCAGGCATCCGTGGTGACCGACGACGGCTTCGCGGAGGGCGGCCCGGACGAGCGTAGCCTGTATATCATGCGAGTGGTGCAGATCGCCGTCATGTGCGTGCTCTCGCTCACCGTGGTCTTCGGTATCTTCTTCCTTGGCTGCAACCTCCTCATCAAGTCCGAGGGCATGATCAACTTCCTAGTGAAGGACCGGAGACCGTCTAAGGAGGTGGAGGCGGTGGTCGTGGGGCCCTACTGACCGGCCCCTGGCCCCCGCGGCAGCCGCCCCATGCCTCCCCACTTCACCAGCCGGGCCGCGCCCCCTCAACATCCGAGACTGGGCGAAGCAAACCTGTCGGAGTCAATTATTTCTCTCGACTTCTGCTTTTCGGGATGAAGCGACCCGCTTTCTCGCTGGCTCTCTGAAAGTCCCCAGGCCTGGCTATAGAAGAGAGCCCTGACTCTGGACTCCGGCAGCAAGTGGCAAGAAGAAGGCGATTGGGGCGCAGAACTTTGGAAGCTGCCGCTGGCGCGGGATGCGGGGACACCGGCCGGGCCAAGGCCCCTTTCCACCCGCAGGTGGGCCAAGCTCTGGGGGCAGGTGGAGAGGGCGGGCAGGGAGAGACCAACGGCACCGCTTGCCTGGTGACTGGAAAAGTGACCCGCGTATACTCCACTTAACCGAACTAACGGGGACACACAAATCCGTGTCCGGCTTCGCGCCCGTTCCCTCCCGCTCCTCCCAGCCCTGGCAGGAGGGGCGATAAATACCTTTGATTGATTGTAACGTGCCGTTTTAAGGGATTTTGTGTTTGTTTGCTTGAATACAAATATTTGATAAGTCTTTTTCCGCCCTAGTGGCCTGTTTGCCTGCCTGGGGGTTAGAGTTTTGTGTTGGGAGAAGGGGTGGGGGGAGGGGAACCTGTGAATGGGGTGAGTTGTTTCTTTTCATGCATTTCCAACTGGGTCTTTGGGGGGCGGGGGGAGGGGCTGGCCCTCCAGCTGGCCCCGGGACAAAGACTCGGAATAGAACTCCGAGCTCGTGACTGCACGGTTTATGCCACAAAAGTGCTCTTGACATTCGTGACACCGTTTTGACTCCCCCCCCCTTATTTAACATTTCCTTAATAAATGCAACATTTAAGTGTTTTGTTCCTGGCCTCCTGGTGGTCATTCTGCGCTCCCGGCAGAAGGGAACGGGCGACGGTAAGGACTCGGGTTACCGGTTCGGGGTGGAATTCGCTTTGGAGAGCTGCGATTCAACTCGTGGATCCTACTTAGGGACGAGGGTGGGAGCAAGACAGAGAGGCCCAGGGACGAGTGAGACATGGCTAAGCCGCAGGCACAGGAGCCGTCTTGGAGGCAGCATCCTTTGTTTTCCTTTACAGTTAATATTTTATATTTCATTTAGGCTCAGCTCTCTGAGCCAGGCGAGACGACGGGAGGCCCCCGCGGGAAGATGACACTTCCGTGCAGGGCTCCGGTGGGAACACAGGGTTACACCGCTAATGAAAGGAAGAGACGGCTTGTCCAGCCTTCAGGGAGGGCATCTTTCCCCTGACCAACGTCAGCAAGACGGCGTCAGGATGCTGATCAAAAAAAAAAAACAAAAAACAAAAACCGAAGAAAAGTAGGTCCTAAAGTACATAGTGACGCTAATTCTCCCTGGGGTAAACCATTGTTACTAAAACAAGACATGCATTGTCTTTGCCTTATTACGTTTCTAGCTAAAGGGCGGTATTAAAAGAGAAACCCGGCCTGGGTTATCAGCCCCAGGCCGGGCAAAAAGGTTCAGAGGAGTTAGCCGAGGTCCTGAATATAGGAGATGTGTGTTAAAACTGGGAAACTGGGAAAGTTGGGCTGGAGGGAGCTACAGATGGTCTTTGGGTTCAGAAATTGAAGGGAATCTGGAAAGAAGAGCCTGGAAAACCGTGCATGTGAAAATAACCCAAAGGATACAGTAGCTTCAAGCTTAAACTTGACAAGAGGTTTTGAGCAGTTTATTTTTACACGTGGGGTAGGATCCTAAATGTTTTCAAGAGTATAAAGAATCCTCTACTATGCTATAGCAATTAAAGGCTTCAAAATAGCAGATATAAGATGGACTAAAATTTTTAAAAAAAGCAACGAAGTGTCCCGTTTAATTGGGAAGAGGCACAACTGGTATAAACAATGTCAGTGACTCAAGGGTTGGGATCGAAGGGTTTGAGTGTCCTTTGACATCCTGTCTGCTATAAAGTGTCTGTTTCACTCCCAAAGTAAATCTTGTGAGGAATTATGACCTAGAATGGTTTTTAATAGATATCAGGCTTGCAAAAGCAAGGATGTTGAAGTTTTGCCTATTGTTCCTGTATTTTCAGCAGGTAAGCGTTTGCTTGTTTACTTCTGTCTAGGCAGGGGAGCAGGGTCAACGTGTAGTCAAGAGTGAGTCGTGGAAAGCAGTTTACTTTTTTAATGAGTAAGATAGGGAATGGAGACTTCTTATTTTTTAGACAGTTCCTGTGGCCTCCATATTTCAAAGAAAGAAACAAAGCAGAACAACCAGTTCACTCAAGGACAAACCAGACTTTTAAAATTAAACTCAGTGTTTTGGTTTTGTTTTAGTTTTTGGTTTTTGTGGCTGTGATGTCTTGCTGAGGGTCTCTTCTTCCCACAGATTTATTAGCCCACAGTGCTGTAGTGGAAACTGATTTGGGATCAAAAACCAATCAGCTAGAGTGTGTGTGTAGGAATCTTACATTGTGGTCTCTGCTGAGTACAAGGTACCTGCTTACAGTGAATGTCAGACACAGAAAGCTCTCACACCTACAGGTCAATTTGTATTTGTTCGTATAGAACAGAGGTTTCCATTTAAAGCCAAATTCCTGAAAGATGAGAAAGGGGCTTGCCCAAGGCCCCTACTACTCTTTCCTCTACTAATACTCTTTATCTCCACTATCACTATGATCACTCTCCATCCTTTTTCCTCTTAATGCTTCTTCACACTGCTTTCCTCTTCCCTGCACCTCGAAAGCAAAATTTACAGTTTCTCCTTATCTCAACTATCCAGATTTATTCTCTTACCACCAGAAACTGTGATAGTCAGACAAATCATAACCTGCAAAATTTAGTCCTTAGATAGAAAAGACATGTGAACAGAGTTCTGTAATCTATGAACTATGCATTATAGGGAAACGCACATGATCTGAAAATATCATAGCCCTGGGGACCATTTCCTGCCAACTCTTCTCGACAGCCCTTAGATCCATTTGTTACTTAGACAGATGCCAAGTGCTTCTGGTTTTTATAGATGAGGCGATGTGTGCAAGAAGCTTTTTACATTCCCTGTTCCCCAGTGGCCACACGGCAACCACTTTCTCAGGCCCTACACCACTCCCTGTCTCACTCTGCCTTTGACTGTCTTTTTTTCCTGATCATAACAAATGCATTAAATGAAACTTTTAAATCCTGCCTAGAGTTTATGGCACGTTGATCCTTTCCCACAGATGTGCTACAAGGAAAGTAAGTTTTAAAAGTCACTTTCTGGGTTTCATATAAGAAAACAATGTCAGCCTTAAGAGACTGGGAATTGAGAGGGATAGATGCAAACAGGCAGATTTTATCATCCCACACTTAAGTCCACCATGTGGTCAGTAATTAGTGGGAAGTCCTGAGAGAGAGAGAGAGAGAGAGAGAGAGAGAGAGGGAGAGAGAGAGAGAGAGAGAGAGATGGCTTCCTGTAAAAGCTTGCTGGATCTGGCATGTGGTCCATGGGGAGGCATCTGATACTTCCTGAAACACTTCTGGAAATACAGCAGAAACAGGGAGAGGTTTTTGTGAGACACAGCAAGTGGATTAGCAGGGTTGTAACCCCTCTCAGGCTGTGTAGATAGCCACTGATGCCTCTGAGCCTAATTGGGTGGCCTCTACGTAAGTAGCTTAGCCAGTTGTTAATAAATGTTATTTTTCTTAAGATTGTTTTTATGAATCTTCCCACTTTCTCTGAAAATGTATAAGGACTTGAGTGTTGAACACCTTCAAGTCTGCTTGAGGGAGTCTAAGCATAAAGGCCACATTACTGTATTAAGTCCAAGGCTCCCTGTGCCTGTTTTCTGATTTTCAAGCCACCCTGGCTTCTCATTGGATCCTGGGCCAGTCTGTTACTGTGTCTTCTTACACTAATTCTGAGTGAGGGAGGAAAAAGCATACTGGCCTATGATGTAACAAAGTTTGGTTCTGGTCTCTAAATAACTGAGTGGCATCAGCCCTAAAATGAGGAAGATAGATTCTATCTATAGAAGGATACTCCTATTCGGTGATTCTATTGAATTAATTTGTTTAATATTTCCTTGTCTCTTAAGATGTTTCTTAGCTCATTTCAATAGGTATCTTAGAATATATTTTGTCATTCCAATCTTGGTCCTTCAGGTAGGAAGCACCCTCCCGCTAAAGTCAAGTGCTCCTCAACTTGGGATGTTATTTACAATAGCCAAAGCAAAATTTCAGACACCTAGCCAGGCCTAGGTAGACAGCAGTTTCTATGCTGACAGATCACAAATCATCTAATCAGTGCCTTAAATATCCCAGATCTCTGTGTTGTCACTGGACGAAGCAATGAAAGGAAAGCCCAGTGAATCGGGGAGCACATAATCAACAAATGATTCCTCTAAGTCCATATACATTTAGACTAATATGCATTGTTGTTTATAGAAACTTTTTGGGTGTTCAAAGATTAATTAACAACCAATTTTTCTCCCTCAAAGCATTTTTTTTCCCTTTGAGCTTCTGCAAGAGCACACAACAGCTGTTTCGCATGCAGTTTATAGCCTTCCTTAGCCCTGGCTTATTAGACTTGTCACTTTGGGGGCTGCAATGCCAAGAAAGGATTCCAGGGTTCAGTTTGTTCTGGAAGACTCAAATCTAGTTTGAAAGCCTGTTGAAGAAGTAAGTCTATAGCAATACCCCAAACAGGAATCAATACATCTTTTACCCACCTGCCAAATTCCATTTAGATATGTGCACGATAGCTCAAATGGGATGTGTTTTAAAGTCCGCTCCAACAGTAGTAATAGTTACCTAATGTTTGAATTTAAAGGCTCAATGGTTAACTGCTTTCATAGCCAATATCACTCTGTCCTTCTTTCCAGATATTTTTGTATTGTTTTAAATGCTTAAAATGTTTAAAAGTCCAGGATTAATTTTATAGCATCAGCTTAGATTTAAAAATTCTTGCAAAGTATATAGTTCAGGAGAAAATAAAGTATATAATAGTACCAGCAAGTCATGTAACATTTCTGGTGATCATAATAGAATAATCTAAATTTATTACTTATATTTGAGAAATTCAGACTATACCAGAGGGGAGCTCTACAAGGACTATTATTGTAAGGATAACTAAATGCATTTTAAAATATTCCTCAGTAAGCTTGTAAACAGTGGCTTACTTCCAACTCAAATAACAATCCATCCTAAATGAGAATAAACAAGTTATATTTTCATTTATTTGACTGTTTATATAGACTTTGAAGGGATTATGGGTAAATAGTTTCCTAAATACATGTAAGCGCTCGGTTGCTGAATATTTCTGTGTGGGTAAATGC